TCAATATGGAACATGGACATGTTCCAACAGGAAGGAAAAGAAGAGTTCTACACTTTTATATTTGAAGCGGAACTAATCGATCTTCCGTTGCAAGGTAGAAGATATACTTGGGCTAGACCTGGGGGTACCGTGATAAGCCGTCTAGACAAATTTCTCCTGTCTAAAAACTGGTACAGAACTTAGCCGAATTATAACCAATGGTGCATGGATAAAGGTATTTCTGACCATTGTGTGATCATGCTTCGTGAATTTGTTCAATATTGGGGTTCAAAATTGTTCTGTATGCTTGAAGGCTGGAAGGATTTGCAAGGATACCATAATTTTGTCATCGAGAATTGGAGGGAGATGAAGGTGGAAGGTTGGGGCATGTATGTTTTGAAAGAGAAGCTTAAAAAGATCAAGGAGCATCTCAAGAAATGGCACAAGAATCATTGTCAAAACTTAGAGGGAAAAATTATTGATGAAAAGGATAAGCTTAATAGTTTAGAGATCCAAGGCAAAAGTTTGGAATTTTCTGAGGAAGATTTGATAATTAGAAGTGAGATCTCTTCGAAACTTCACTCATTATCAAATCTAAATTGCAGCATACAATGGCAATAGGCTAGATCTAAATTGATCAAGGAAGGGAATGTGAATTATAAGTACTTTCACAGATGCATAAACAAGAGAAGTCAATGAAATAGTTTGCATTGACGTGAATGAGAATAGGGTAACTGAGGCGAAGGAAATTGAAAAAGCGATCTTTGAGCACTTTCGGCGCCAATTTTCAACTAGTAGAATCAAAGCAAGCCCGGAGAATCTGGATTTTAAGAAGATTGAAGTTACCGAAAACGAAGAATTGGTGAGTGAATTCTCGGAAGAAGAAATTAGGAGAGCTGTCTGGGAATGCGGTAGCGACAAAAGTCCTGGACCAGATGGATTTATTCTTGGGTTTGTGAAAGAATTCTGAGATGAAATTAAAAAGACTTTCGGCGGGTTTTGACCGAATTTCATGAACATGGAAGGATTGTTAAGGGGCTAATTTCTCCTTTATTGTATTGATTCCTAAGAAGAAGAATCCTTTGAAGATATTTGATTACAGACCGGTTGTGTTGATAGGATGCATTTACAAGGTGATTTCTAAAACCCTTGCAAATAGATTTAAAAAGTGATTGGTTCGCTAATTTCCAAAGCGCAATCAGCATTTTTATCAAACAGGCAGATTCTCAATGGGATTTTAATCGCGAATGAGATTGTTGACGAAGCCAAGAGAAAGAAAAAGGAAGTAGTTTTGTTTCAAGTTGATTTCGATAGGACATACGACTCGGTGGACTAGAACTTTTTGGATTGTGTGATGTCTAAGATGGGTTTTCATGATAAATAAAGGAATTGGATAGCATAATGTTTGAAAACAACGATGGTATCTATTCTCGTTACGGAAGCTCCACCAAAGAATTTAGGATGGAAATAGGTCTCCAGCAAGGTGATCCCCTATCTCCGTTTTTATTCCTCATAGTGGCAGAAGGATTTAATATGTTGATGAAAAAGGAGATTGAGTGTGACAAATTCCACGGGTACAAATTCGATAAGGGTGAAGAGTGATTCTCTCATTTACAATATGTCGACGACACTTTGATAATAGGAGAAAAAATATGGTTAAACATTCGGATAATTAAGGCAAATTTAATGCTTTTTAAAGCTATGTCAGGCATAAAAGTAAACATCAACAAGAGCATATTAATAGGGATAAATATTCACGATAAATGGATCGAAGAGGCAGCTAAGGTGCTCAACTGTCAAAAGGGCGAATTACCGTCAAATATCTTGGTCTTTCAATCGGAGCCAATCCAAACAAATTTTATACCTGACAGTCGGTTCTTCAGGCTGTAAGAGCTCGATTATTGAGTCAGAGAAACCATTATCTTTCATTTGTTGGTCGAGTAGTGTTAACCAAATCAGTCCTTCATGCGCTTCGGGTTTACTTCCTCTCGTTCTTCAAGGCTTCGACAAGTATTATTGCTAAACTTGAATCTATTTTTAAATGGTTCTTGTGGGGTGGGAGTGAGAATGAAAGAAAAATCAATTGGGTTAAATGGGAAAAGGTTTGCATTCCGATTGAGGAAGGGGGTTTGGGAATTAGAAATTTGAAAGTTTTTAACAAGACTCTCCTAGGAAAATGGAAATGGAAAATCAAATGGAAAAGTCACGGATTATGGGTAAAGGCTTTGAAGAATAGATATGGGAAGGAAGAGGTCATGATGGGAATAGCTAGTAGCAAAGACTCAAATTGGTGGAAAAAGGTTTGTAAGCTAGATATAGAAAATTGGAAAAGCTCAATATATTACTCGGTTAAAGAGAAATATAAGGACTCGACGTCTAGTGAGACCAATCAATCCAATCCTTTATGGATCAAGGCTTGGCACAAAGCGATTCCACCAAAAGTGTCTTGTTTAATTTGGATACTTTTTTAAGATAGGATTGCTACGAAAAATAACATAGTTAGAAGGAATATCATCGGTCAAGAGTCTATTGATTGTGTCGGGGATTATGGGGCTGAAGAATCGGTATCCCATCTATCTTTTTAGTGTCCTTCTTTTTCAGGTATTTGGCATCTCGTTGGCAAATGACTTCAGATATCCACCGTTTTTCACAATGATGAAATGGCACACTTTTTGCAATTCGAAGGGATGTTTGGTGGTGACAAGGAAACCTTTACGAGAGTTTACGTGATTTCGTTTACACGTGTTTGAAGCATATGGAAAGCTAGGAACAACAAACTGTTTAATAACAAAGAGGTTGAAAATGATAATTGTTTATCTGCGAAACAATCGTTAGCCTCTTATTAAAGGTTGCTTGCAGGATCGGCTACAATAATCCTAGACTTAGTATTTTGAGTGTTTTGGGTTGAAATTGGTTGATATTGAGTAAAAGGGCAAAAGTGAAAGACAATTGCAAAGTAAAGAAATTAAAGACAAGACTTGTAATTTAAGTGAAAACAGAAAATTTCTATGAATTTAAATGTGGAAGCATTCATATATTGTTAAGCTTGAAACTCGTTTCTCTCTTAGATACGGGTACTTTGAGTGTAATGCTCTAAATATGAAGAAATGTGATCCTTGACACAAATACAAATATTTGCTTAAATAGAAATCTTAAGTATGTAACCGTCAGTAGTTACTAGCCCATGTTAGGACTTTGTGGAGAAACTGCCCTAAACTGTTTTGAACATCCCCATGTTCTTACTGGCTTGCGTGTTGATAACAATTTCCGACACCATAAATCCTTGCTCGTCGACCCCTACGTCTGTCGATGACCATCTCTGAATTCTATGTCTTTTTTTCTACTGGCTCTTCTGGTTGATACCCTTCAACCTGATCGATACCTGTTGTTTTCCACAAAGTCATCCCTTTTCAGCCAAAGAAACCTTACAGCTTAAGACTTATTTCTCTAGTCAAAAATTGCTTGTCAACAATAACATGATTGAAGATATTATTGAGATTTCTTAGAGATGGTTGTCCATAAAATATCCAGACATGAAATTCAACTACTCTCAATGGAGAATAAATCCAAAGGTTTGTATTGGTATTACTGAGAGTTAGTTCCTGCTGAGTTGTTTAGCAGATATGTTTGCCAGTTCGTTTTATCGATTCGTTTGTGTTGCTATCTGATACAACAGGAGGTCTTTGGTTTATCTGCTGGAGGCGTCCCATGAGTTTTTGATATTCCTGTATAGTTGCTTCAATTGTTTATAGGTTCTTTCATGTGGCAATGCAGTTGCAGATGTAATGCTTTTTAATAGACTTACATATTCCGGCATTGTATTTTGTTTTCTGAATTGATGACCTTTTGTTCTATTTGCACTCCTGGTGCTAGCATTTTAGTATATTTGGCTGATTCAGAAGGAAAAAAACTTTAGCAACATTGGCTTCATGAATATCTAGTTTTCGCCAACATATGGTACATGAGCATTTAGAACAACAACATGAAGTTCCAGACTGAGTTGACAACATACAAACGGATACACCGTATATGTATATGTAGTCAGTTATGAGTCAAGATGATCCTATCTCGGTCGTTACACATTAGAAACATTAATCAAACAAACACAATCTGACCCTACCGAAAGTACCCTCCCTTAAGTGATTTTAAGAATTCTAAAATGATCCTCCTAAATATTTTGCACTGTTATTAAAAGAAAAATGAGAAGATATGTTAATATAAGAGATATAGAGTTACATTATTAATAATTTAGGAACAATAATAAGATTGATGGGGTAGAAAAAGAAGAAAAATGAGAAGATACGTCAATAAATGGGATATAGAGTTGCATTATTTATAATTTAGGAAAGATAAAGAGATCGATGGTGTCGAAAAACATAGTAGGTGCACTAAAACGTAATAATTAAAGAAAATGAAAAGATAAATGTGAAGGTTTGAAAAAATATAAGATTACTGAAGATTGGGATTAGCTATATTTTAAGTGGCGGGGAGATACTCTCCACCGTACATGTTACAACTTACAAGGATGCGATGATTACAAAAGACGTGATGTTAAAGTGTTGTTTGAGTAAGAGAATAGTTAGATCAATAATATAATAACATGATAGTCGGTAGAAAATGAGTTGCACTACGTAGATGATTTATTTGGAGAATGTCGATTCTATTAGAGAAAAATGAGTAGTCCAGTATAGTACACAACCTTCTAAGTGGTGGGCTTGAAAGGGAAGACGTTTGCTAACTCTGATCGACATGTAACATACCATATTGGCAAATTCACTGAATTTACATGGATACACTAGCGTGTGTATATTTTCATAGTAGCAACAATTTTAGTAATGCTTTAAACCAAAAAGAATTGATACAACAAACCAAAGACTGCATCATTCCTCTTTCGGAATGTACCAGTGCAGATATAAATAAAGGTTACAATCAAAGGTGTAAAATCTCGAGAACCGGTGAAGATTAACAACCACGCGACATTTATAATCGAAAAAAATAAGATGGCAGCGTACAGCTTTTAACTAGAGAAGCCTGAGATGAGCTGTATCATTCAGCTTTTTTATCTGCCAACCAGTTCTGAGAGAGTGCTGCAACACAGTCACTGAAGAGTCTTCTATGCAGAACTTATGTGACATCAAGGGACTACATCCAAGAAGACCGGTAAGGAGACACTTGATTGGCACAGAATGAGTAAATAGTCCTATACAAGAAGCAGATGATGAAAAGCTGCTGAAATTAGAATTACGCAGGGAACTTTCATGGTTTACGTTGCTAGAAGGAATGTCGTCTTCGATCTCATCTCCGGTAGTTGTCACAAATTGTAGCCTGCTCTTACCAGATTTTTTCCTTGAGAATGCAGGTCGATGCCTGGTGAGAGAATCCCATTGGTTTGAATGGAGAGAGTTTCCATCTTGGTCATGAATTGAGTTTGTGAGAGCATGGGAATTGTGCTGAGAAAATGTGTGACTGTCATTTTGATGTGACGAGAAAACTAGTCTCAGTTTTTCATGTAATCCTAAGACAGTCTCATTTAAAAAACGAATCATTCGGAATTCTACTTGTCTAAGTGATTCTCCAGAAGGTGCGGCAAAATCTGGCTGGAACCTGTCAATGTAGCTCATAACTTCAGGGGTGTATGTTTCTGATCGAAGACAGCCCTCCCAATTTCCTTGGCTAATCTCGGAAAGTGCATCTGAGGATTGAATTTGCTCCTCTGAGAAATTGATTTCCTGTCATAGGCAGTTTCGCAACCATTAGAAGTGAAACTTTAAAAACAGATGGAGTTCAGTGTGTAAGACAATTATGCTACTAATTCAAACAAATTTAAAAACACTTTAAATGTAGTTAGAAGAAGTTGCTACTATACCAAATTCCCTTCATGGAATTTACTACAGACTAAGGTAAATGATTTCTTGAGATGATTAGGGTAGGAAAGACATTTGGAAGCATACTCACAATATTCGTTCATCCTCCTGCAAACTGAAAATTTGCATACTAATTGGAAAAACACCCTTAATTTGGTGAAAGATGTGAGTGAGTTTGGAGTCGGTAGAAGCAATCGAGTGTTTTTGAGAACTAAAGAGAAAACAATGGAGTCCCTGAAAGTGTTATTTAGCAAAAGAATGATGATTGAAAGTGAATGGGAGAAAATATGATTTTTGGAAACGAATGTAATTACTCTTCTTGATAACAAATACTTGAGTAATTGAAATACTAAAGCTTTAATTTTTAAAATAATGAAATCACTTCTAAAATTATTCAATCTATTATTACTATATTCCAGTTAATGACTATATTTCATATCACATTATGAATATGAACAAGATTGGTAGTGTATCAATTAAATGTACTTCGAATCTGTAGCATACTGACAATGTGTACCTCCCACATACCCCAACTATGAAGGGTAGCTTAAAGCATATCCGTACCAAATAGAATTGCAGTGACTATGGTTGAAATTTTATTTGTGATATTCTCTAGCCCTGGTTCAAGGATAACCTAGGTTAAGAAGAGAATAAATGACTAAAGAACTGTCTTTGCAAGAGTTTAGAACCTGTATCTCCCTCCACGATTCACTAACTCACCAACTCCACCCATCAATTTTATCTTTACTACTAATTGTAATAGCCTAACAGATAAAATTATAAGGACAGCACACTACTAACAAGGAAGGACTACCTAAAGGACAGCCCACCTGATCTCTCAGGCCCATCCTTACTCCTCCTGCTGTAAAACTTCCTAATTGGGGATTTGGTGCTTAGAATACAGCCCCAAAAGGTTCATACTATAGATGAAGAGTTGGATAAAAGCTTTTGGGCTGCTGACTACCAAAAGTTCTCGCAAACTTATAGATCCAGCCCATTGATCGGCACTGCACTACTGTCAGCAGGTTCTCCAATGTCCAAAACCAAGAAAGCCAACAACTCCCACTTCCATCCTGTGGCTGAAAGCATAAAGACACATCACCCAACTTAGCCTTCAACTATTGGAAAAAAATATACTTCCAGGGTTCCCTTGAGATTGGGTACCTTGTTAATTCCTTCCATTATCAGTTTACTAATTGTCTATAATTAGAAACAAATAGTGATAATGGAGTCCCTAATAGAGTCTGTACCAGTGTTATTTATGTGTTTTCGGTTCAGTAACACCATCTTGCCATTGGTTCACCTGCATTTACCGTCGTGGGTTTCTAGCTCAGGATTCATGTTTCTTGTCTTGGGTTTGTTCGTGGTTCTTGTTCCAGGTTTACCCCACGCCCAACTGGAACATTTGTGGTTCTTGTTATGTGTTATTTGTTCTGTGATTCCTGGTTTAGGCTTCTTCTCGCGACGTGAATCTTTAAAAGTCAATCTTCTTCTCAGTTCTCACTAATTTGAGCACGTCCAGATACATAAATTATTTAATGAATCTAAAAAGGTAAATTTTGTTTATAATATGGAATGTAGGGAGTATTACCCTAGCTTCCCACATCAACCCATTCTATAAGCTTCCAGATAGAAACGGGTTCACTGATTTCCTCATTTCTAAATTCTTCCCCTTCTGAAATGCAAAAATGGGAAAGTGTGGCTTTTTCCTCATAGGTTTTATACCATGGAGATCCCTCTGATGTTTCTGGCAGGGGTTGCTTCATTTACCTCTGTTTCTTAAAATTAGGTCTATCCACGAGCACCAAAGGGATCTAAAGTTGCTTCCTTAATTGCCTTGTTTGTCATTTCAATGCAACCTTTTTGGTTGATCCAAGATTTAAAGCCTTCGGATTAAACTTATTTTTTTCCACCAAAGTTATAGGGGATAAAACCAATGCATACTTTATTGTACTTTGAACACATCCTCCTGATCTTTGATTTTTTTTCTTCGACATGGACCAAAGGGATCTAAAGTTGCTTCCCTAATTGCCTTGTTTGTCATTTCGATGCAACCTTTTTGGTTGATCCAAGATTTGAAGCCTTCGGATTAAACTTATTATTTTTCCACCAAAGTTATAGGGGATAAAACCAATGCATATTTTATTGTACTTTGAACTCATCCTCCTGATCTTTGATTTTTTTCTTCGACATGGACCCTTTTCCTGCACCACCTTTTTTGCTAAAAGAATATGGTTGTCCTAACCCTATTCTGCACTATACTTTTCTCCATCATAGGCCAATCAAGTGTCTCCTCCACCACACCCACTTATCCATCTTAATGTTTGTTTTACTCATTGTTTTTGCAACCACAAAATCAGTTTCTTTTCTATAGTTAGACTTCAAACCTTCATCTTTGCTCCTATTTTCTAATAGTAACTTCTCAGTTACGCAAAACGACAAGGCACACCCTCATCAACCAGTCCATTTCCTAATTACTACTCTTTTTCCAACTGTATGTCAACTGATTACTCCCTGCCAAAAAACTACCATAAGCTCCGAACTTCTCGCTTCCTTTTTTCTGCAAGGCTCTGAACTTCTCGTTTCCTTTTTTCTGCAAGACCTACGCTCTTTCTCCTTAGTTGGGCCTTCCTCTGCCTCTTTTGATGATTCTAACAGGATTCCTGGCCTCCTTCCATTGGTACCAATGGTTAGCACATGCTTCCAGTGCTTCGGCTACCAGCTGCAACTTCCCTCCATCACTTTTCCATGTAAAAAAAGGAGCTCAAGTCAAATAAACCCCCCAAATGTGACTACTTCAGAATACAAGAATCCCTTAAGTTTACGTTTGAAAGTTTGAATGCATTTGTTAAGCTTGGAAGCTCCATTCAAAATTCTTCAAGTAATAGCTCCTCCATTTGTGCAGACTATGAGCAACTAACTATCTGGATTTGGGAATTCTCCGAGTGTAGATAAATTTGATTTAGAGATTAGGAAACAACTAGTAAGAAAGTAGAAGAATTGTATGTATGTTCTTGCTTGCTCTGGAACAACTAAGAGCCTAAATTAGGAGAAGTAATTACTAAAAGCTTTCTATGCAGGATTCGAGAGGAGGCCTCCCTCCACATATCACTACCATCTACCAAACTCTCTCTACCTTCTCTTCCTATATCCTAACAAACTAACTACTCTAACAGCTCACAAGGTCTGCCTCTCAACTAACAAGACCTGATTAACTGGGCTAACTGAATTGATTCCTTTGCCCCACTCGTATCCTTATTTCTCATGCCTTAAGCCTTCCAAAGGGTGCTAAGACTTCTTTCCGGCCATTCTACCACCATCAACAATTTTCTGCACAATTATGTACATCTACCAATAAATAAAATCACAATTACCATTTGAGATTTTAGTCTCCTCCTTTTCTATCCTGCTTTGATTAAATGGTAAATAAATTCTATAAATTTAATTCATGCAAGTCAGCATTCAGTGCAAAGCAACAATAACAGTCAGATGTGGCAACAGGTTTATTTCGTACAATGTTGAACTATCATTAAAGCTAATGTGGACCCATTAGTTTTTTCATCTCAATATCAAAAGGCAATAAAATAAATGAATCTAGTAAGTATCAAAAACCATTTTGGCTATGTGTCCTTCTAGTGTTCCATTTTCAGCATGAATATTAGTACCAACACATTTCGGTCAACATCTTGATGACAAGGTCTGCTAACGTACTCGTATGTTTATAATATCAAGTTTGGCCAATCAAAACATTTGTTAGTTTATACTGATATAAAATTACATCAACAAATAATGTAAATTGAAACGAAATTTTTAAATCTTAGAGACAGCCAAGCTTTTCTTTTTTTTCTTTTTTTTTTCAATTCTAGTTTTGTCTGCTGTTCATTGAGCAATAAAGCCACAAACAAATTCCAAATCCCAACAATGGACATGAGATCCATGATAATATAGGAAAACAACAAACTAGCACACTCAATGTTAAAGTGAGCAATTATTCAAAAGCAATAATAACAACATGGTTGCTTTTCCATTTCAACTATATAGTCTCATATATTTGTAAAGAGTAAATACAACAACATTACCTGATATTCAACTTCTACCATTCAACATAGCATTAAAGTTAACAACCACAATTAAAACCACGGCGTTAATCTTTTAGAAGTTTCATCAACTATGTACCTAAATTGCACTCGGATTTATCCTAACCGTCTACAATATTATCAGTTGTAGTTCGAACACAATTAGTACCATTTAACAGATCTGATTCTTCGGAAGTAAACAACTTCCTTTAGAGTTTAACATAAGTAATATCAACTACTAATGAATAAATCATTGGTTGATATTACATCCATATGCAAAAGAAGAAAAAAATCATGTTTGTGTTCCAGGATGTTAAATAACAACTACAAATGTTGTGGAATTTGAGCAAATCACTATTGCCCTGCGATACACTATTTAGCAGCTATTGCAACAATATAGCAACGCTGCATAGCGGAATTTGAACAACCCACTATTTATCCAATTCCAATAACAACATCAACTAAGCCTTATCCCACTAAAGGGGTTGACTACATGGATCCACTTCTGCCATAATGTTCTAACCAAAACTATGCTTCTATCCAAATCGTTAATCTTGACAACATTTCTTACTATTAGTTGAGATTACTTACTTCACTCTATGCTCACATCTAAGTGCATATTTGGAATCACATTTAATTTAACCGAATCATGGAGACACCGTCATTTTATTGAAGCTTTAAAATGTAAATTTCATCAAAATCGCAGTAATACTACATTATTCTATCTAGCTCAGATTCAACCCAAATATTCACGTATCTTGTATAACATAATTCAACTCACACAGAACTTAAATATCTACAAAGGACAACGAAATCGACGAGAGAATTACCTTACACACCGAAACCGCAGTTGACCTAGCCCGATCCAACGCCGAACAATAAACCGCATTAAACCTAACTCCCTGAGATTTCAAAAAAACAGCCAAAGCCCTAGCCTGCCGTTTCCCATTCGGCGTCAATACGGCCTCCGAACACCTACCTCCAACCAACTCCGGCGCCAAATTCAACTCACATTCCCCATGACAGATCAAATAAACCTCCACAACCTCATCCTCACTCACCGACGAAAAACTCCGCGAAAACATCCCCACCGGAGGCGACTGAAGCGGCGTCGGCGGTGCCAAAACGTTGTACGGATCCCATACCTTTATCGACGGACCAAGCCGCGGCGTTCCCAGAGACGACAGTTGCGGAGAAAGCGGAGAAGCTGACGCGTGGCATGGAAGCATTTCGGGTTCTTGTTCTAGAACCTTCTTGACTATAAGGTGGTTACGTAATTGGGACCCACTTATATGGCCGTTAACGTTGGTTTCTTCTTCTTCTTGTTCTTCTTCTTCGTCATCGCTATCTTCAACGGATTGTGATGAGTGATTCGCACCCATTTTTTATTTTATTATTATTGTTGTTGTTTTCGCTTATAAAACGACGTCGTAGATCTGAAGAGAGATGTAGATCTGGGTTTTGTGAAATTTGTAACGTATTGAAGGAATCTGAATGTGTGTGAATATGAAGAAGAAGAGGAAGAAAGTCGTAAAACTTCACACTAAAACTTTTTAGGAAATACATATTTATTTATTTTTGACGTATTTCTGAAAATAAACTTATAACAATTAATATAAACAATAATATAAATTATTTCTATAAATAAATTCTTACAAATAAATGGTTTAGAAAATGTACGTCTTACTTAGGTGTAATCAAGTCTTTAACATTTGTAATTAAGGTGCATACTTTTGGAACATATACAATCACATAATTGTTTGAACAATGGAGTATATGTGGAGAATGGAATAATTAGAGAGAAGAGAATGAGAGAGATAATTGAGGGTAAGAATGATAATTTGCATTATTAATGATAATTATGTCTTCAGAGTATTTATATAAATGTTACAAAATAATTGGTGTTCCTGTTAAACAGTTTTGGATAGTCTTCTTGACGTGAATCAAACAAGATTGCAATTGTTTTGTATTTTTGTGGTTGTTCTCATGTTATTTGTGTTTTATGACTTGGTTGTCCTTCTTCTCTCCAGGAGGCTTTCATTTTATACCTCTACCTATAGGTCTTACATTCAATGATAGGTGACTCCATACCTTCGGTCATAAAAAGGTTTTCTAACTCACAATGTCTTATCATGAGATGTAACGCTCTATTTATGAGCTTTCATAACCTCTATGTGGCCTTTGGTATTATGTAACGACTAGGCCGACCTCATACGTCGAGTGCATCCCTTGTGTTCTGACTTCATATGTCAGTTGCAGCTCCCTCCTCATACACCGATCCCATGCTCGTATGGTCGTCTTGCGTTATCGTTTTCCTTGTCCGACTTGTAGCCTATCCTAGGAATTTATGGGTGTACATAAACCCCCGATCATGAGACCCAACGGATTGAAGTGTTCGGACAGAAGAATCTTGGAATTCCTTGGAGACGACATCCCTAATCGACTGCTCGAAGATCCAACAGTCAACTATTTGATGACGTGTGTTAGTGGGTTTTTAAATATATTGATGGGCGTGCATCCCATCGAACCTGTTCACCTTACTTCGCAATGATGATTTTTATGGGGAAAACACAACCATTATAACCCTTCTACTAGTTGGAAATCCACCTAGACCTATGGAGAATTTATATCAATCTTGATGAACAATATGATTATCAATACACATTAACAATGAAAAGGAAAGAAAGTTGATGAAGAAAGAAAATTAGGGTTTGACAAACTATGGAAGAAGTTGGTGATTTATGCAGAGTAACTCTTTACCCACAAACTATGAAAAATCTTATTCACTTTACAACTGCAAAATTCTATGAATTCAAGTTATTACAAGAATAGGAATTACTCCCTCTATTTATAGTTTTAGGTTAGCTCGATTCCTAAGTTAAATCCTAAAACAAAAAAAGGCCAAAATAACTATTTGAGATCTAAGTCAAAATCATGTATGAAGCAACCTACTTCGATACTTCGACATCTTATACAACTTGACACACTCTTGTTTTGTCGAGCAACATGCTTCTTCCATACAAAGGATTGCAATCTCAACACATCATCTAATTCATTGTGTCTAAGCTATCTACATTCATCATATCTCTTAATCTTCTGAACACTTCCACTTGCACATCCTTTGTCATGATGTCTGCAATCTGATTCTCAGTTTTGCAGTGTTCCAAGTTTAGCTTCCCATTTGCTACCTGCTCTCGAAGATGATGGAACCTAATTTTGATATGATTTCCTCTTCCATGTGCTATCGGATTCTTTGTCAAATTGATAGCTGACTTGTTATCGATCTTCATGGTAATTGCTTCATGATCCTCTCCTGTAATCTCTTCGACCAAGTTCACCATCCATATTGCTTAATATGCACAGGGGGAAGCAACTATGTATTTTGCTTCACAAGATGATAATGCCACTACTGGTTCTTTTCTCGAACTCCAAGCAGTTGGTGTTCCACCTAACATAAACACATAACCAGCTGGATTCGATCCTCGGCATCACTACACCAACTTGAGTCGGTGTAACCTACTAACCTGCATTCTTTTCCTTCATCAATTGCAGGAAACAAAATTCCATAGTCGAGAGTTCCTTTTAGATACCTCAGTATTCTCTTCGTCACTGCTAAATGTGATACCTTTGGCTTCTGCATGAATCTACTTACCATATCTAGATTGTATACTAAGTCAGGCCTTGTGTTACAAAGGTATCTTAGGGGCCTAATAATTCTTCTATATTAGGTTGGTTAGACATCATCTTCATCTGAATCTTTCAATAGTTGCAGTCTTGGCTCAACAGGTGTTAAAGTTGAGTTACATTCTTCCATCTTAAATATCTCGAGAGTTTCACTTGCATATCTTCTTTGATGCATCATTAAACCTCTATTATTCTTGTATAGTTTGATGCCAAGAAAGTATGAAATGTCATCCAGATATGACATCTTAAATTCCTGGCAGAGATCACCTTTGAAGTTTTCGATCTACTTGTTGTAACTACTTATTATCAATAAGTCATCGACATAGAGACATAGTATAAGCAATTTACTCTCGCTTCTTCTTACATATACTCCATGCTCAGTTGTGAATTTCACAAATTCCTTCCCCCTTGGAAAATTGTTTATCTTCTTATTCCAAGCTTTTGGAGCTTGTTTGAGTCCATACAAGGCTTTATGCAGCATGTACACCTTTCTCTATCCGTCTTGTTTCACAAACCCAACTAATTTTGCAACATATACTTATTTGTCTAAGGGGCCATTTAGGAACTCACATTTCACATCCATCTGACATATGTTCCAATTGTTCATTTCTTTTAGACCAACAACTAACATGATTGTTTCGGTCCTACCAACAGGTGCAAAAACTTCATCGAAGTTGATTCCTTCTTTCTCAAGAAATCCTTTCGCCACAAGTCTTGCCTTGTGTCGATTTATTTTTCCTTTGGGATTCAACTTCACCTTGTATACCCATTTTACATCAATTGCCTTATTGCCTTGAGGCAATTTGAAAAATGACCAAGTGTTGTTGACTTTGATGGACTTCAGTTCCTCATTCATATCTTTCACCCACTTGAATCCTTCAATGCCTCAGTTGCATTGACTGGTTTGACATTTGCATATAAAGCATAGTGTACCAGCTCACCTTCATTATCAACCACATTATCTGATGTAATCGTATAATCCTACAACCTTGCAGGCATGTATCTTGTTCTTTGAGGTCTGCTTTGTCCCACTTCACCTCTGACTACTTCCTGTCGAACTTCTTCTCTTTCAACTTCAGTGACTGGTGAAAGATGAGAAAAATACAAGAAAAGGGGGTTTGAATTGGGTTTTCTAACAAAAATTTTCTCTAAAAATATTTTGCAAACTAACTAGAGATGATAAAGCTAAGGAAAGAATAAAATGACTCTTTTGGTTTATACAAGTTCACCTTCAACAAGGCTACTCTTGTCCATCCGCCAAGGTGATTTAGCCTTCAACAATGACTTAATCCATTAATCTCAACAGATTAAAAATACACGGGCTACCCATTGGTGACTAACCACAACCGTATAAGAGTCTAAACTGACACCTTAGCCCTCTTAAGTCTGAGACTAACAACCTAGTCACTTGAGGTAATAATCAATTCTAGATAGAATTACAATCAACTATGTTTACAGTGTTTACTTCTAAAAAGTAGATTCACACAACAATGAAGAATAACTCCTTGTATTGAGAATTCTAAGATAAAACACAAATAATATGCAATAACTCTTTGTGTTTAATCCCTAATAACTTAACACAATAACGAGAAACAACTCTTATGTTCTCGTGGATGTATATGGATAGTGATTCTTCTTTTCTCTTGATGTTTCTGTATTTCAGCAATTTGATTCAAGCTTGATAGTGTGGAATAGTTCGTTAATCTTCAAATGCTGACGAGGTCTCTTTATATAGGCTTAAGAATAAGACAGTTGATAGTACAAAGACTTTGCTCTCACTTGCCAGCAACAATAACGGTAGCACTTCATCGTGGGAGACAACATAGTACAATGTGTAAGCATGTAGTGGAATTTTAAACGTATTGATTGTATTGTATTCTTCATGGCTAAGTTTCTTAAGACCTTATCTTCTGATGATTTACTTCTGGGTAGAAGTAGTAAGCTTGAAATATGTATCTTGATCTTGTCTTTGTTTTTTTCTTCTTTTTACTGGATTGATTCTAATATGATGATGAAAATGATCTAGAAGATGCTTCATTGTTGTTGAGTCAGAGTCTTTCAAATAGTTGAATATTGTCTTCAGATATATAAGCAATAACTTATCTGATGAACAATGTATTCTTTGAGAGAAAGCTTTTCTGACCTTAACTTCTTGAATTGATCCTTGATCCTTGATAATCAGCTTTTCTAAGCTGCATATCTGATGTCTAATTTCTGAAGCAGAAGCTTATATCAGTACATCTGATTTTGATGTTGAGTTTTTCTTTTTTGATCTCTTGAATTCTGACCTTTGTATTGAGCTGAAAGTGACATCTTATGTCAGCTATATCTTGGTGTTTGATCATGAATTATTTCTCTTGATATTTGGGAGTGAAGCTTTCCTGAGAACATTCTTGATTCCCTTTCTGATGAACATTCAACATTCCTTAGAACTGTTGATGTTTCTTTAGAAACAATCACAATAGTTTTTTTTAGTAGATTAGCTTAAGAGGATGTCTCCCTTGGATCTTGTCTTCCAATGGACTATATGATGTTGATTTGAAGTGAGTCTAGAAGATCTTTCTTTCATCATTTCTTCTGATGGAATACTTATGATGATGAGTTGAAGTGTGTATTCCATGAACTTATCTGAGTCTTCAGAAACTTGACTTTGTCTTCAGAAATGTGAGCAATAACTCTTCTGATGAATAAGTCTTGT